CAAAAAAAAAATAAAAAAAAAAAGAAATGAAAATAAATAAAACAGAAAACAAAAAAGAATCATGTTATCGGTCTCCCGTCCGCGGTATCACACAGAGTTCCCCCCAGGCCTTCTTTCTTGTTGCCTGGCGTATCAAGAGGAGGGCGTCGCCCTGGCCGCTGAAGGTCTGGGGGATCCAGGAGTACTTGTCGGTGAAGCCCCAGACGGTGACGCCGACGCAGCGGTCGACGTCGAGGCAGGAGCCGACGACGTTGGCATAGTCGTTGCCCTGGCGGACGAGGGCATCGGCCGAGGCGGGGAGCGAGGAGTGGCGGATGTCGAGCTCGGTGAAGGCGACGTCGACGTTGAGGGCGGTGAAGCGGCGGAGGACGGTAGCGAGGGCGCTGCGGCCGGGGGTTGAGCCGACGATCAGGTGGCCCTGGAAGCCAACACCGTCGATGGGGGCACCGGCAGCCTGGATGATGTTCACGACTTCGAGAGTGCGGGTCGTCTTGGCACCATTGTACTCGAGGTTGTAGTCGTTGTAGTAGCTGTTCAGGGTCAGCATCCATGTCAAAAATAGCAACGTCGACGACGAAAGACGTACAGCTTGGTGGCAGGGTCAGCCTTGCGGGCAGCGTTGAAGGAGATGGGAAGGTAATCGGTGCCCAGCACTTGGTAGAAAATGCTGTTGCGCCAGTTACCGCTGTCGTCGGCAGCCTCGTTGACAACATCCCAGTGACGGCACTGGCCGAGGTAGTGCGCCATGACGTTGGCAATGTGCACCTCGATGATGGACGTCAGCTGCGCCCTGGTCCAGGTACCGCTGGCAACCCAGTTGGGCAGCTGAGAGTGCCAGGTGAGGGTGTGGCATCGCAGGATCTGCTTGTTGGCCTTGGCAACATTGGGGACCTTTTTGAGTCCGGGTCAGCTTCGGTTCTCTCGAGGGGCATCTTTACGGCCCGACATGGTGAGAGCTTACAACGTCACCGGACGTGTAGGTGAAGACGCCTTGCGAGCGTTCGGTGCTGTCCCACTTCTGACCGTTCTCGGGAACGACCTGTCCGAACTCGGCCGTGTTGTCAACGAAGGACCGGTACTGGGCGTCGTTCACCTGGCGCTCGTCGACGGCGGTACCGAAGTACTCGAGGCCAGCGGCGACGGCAAGGCTGTGGAGCTGGGCCGAAACGACATTAGAGCCGAGAAGGACGGCGACAAAGACCTTGGTGAACATGGTTGCTACCTTTCGCTTGGGAGGTGCAATGGTTCTGATATCACGATGCGGCGAACAAGACTGAGCAGCGATGAACGGACCACACGATGCCCACCACGGGCTCAGTCTATATATGAGGTGCTGCGCGGGTCATCTTGGCCCTCCCAAGGCGAGCCCACGAGGCGGGGGGAGGGGGCCAGGGGACCAAGATCGGTGTCGCGAATATGGGGTCGAAGCATGTCGTGGGGCGACGCAGAAGCAGATTGCGGCGGCGGTGCTCCTGACTTTTTGCCGTATTCATCAACGGGGACTAGTCGCCGTGCCAGGTCTGGGGACGCCTGAGTAAGGGGTTCCAATGCCGGCCCTGCCGGCCACTTTGGGCCTGGTGCCGACCCCTGCTTCTGGCCCGGGGGGGACTTCAGCCTATGTGCGGGAGATCGGATGGCATCATCTGGTATTCGTGCCCTGGACGAGAAGCGCGGTCTGGTGTCTCCACGTACTCTTCTCTCCAGGCCGGCCATGCTCGGTGCCCGGATGGATCGTTCGCGAACCTCAAAAGGGACGTTGCTCCAGATGAGGCCATCATGGCTTGACTCTAGACCTCCCTACCCGAGCGCCCCGCATGGCCGCCCGCCGTGTGAGCGCATTACGTACGGGCCTCTTCTCGCTCTCATTCTACTGAATTGGTGTTGATCCGGCCGCTGTTCCGAGATGAAGACGGGCATTCCAGGTCGTGCCAGCGTCGCGATTCCTGCTTGACTCCCGTCAGTGCCAATTATCCACGCCATGGCGCTGGGCCCCTCTTGCCTCTCGGCAGTCGACAGCAGGGCCAATGGGACAGAGTCTCTGAAAGCACCGTCGCCCAAAGCAGTGGTCAGGAACTTGATCCTCCACGCCCGGGGGCGTGCGGAGACTTCGCATTTAGGCTGATCTGGATGTACTGCCACGCGAAGCTGCAGCGTGCGGAGAAGGGAAACGCCTGTTGCCTTTGTTTGCCATGCCGAGGCCGAATGACGAAGTGCTCAGTGACCGGGCCGGGGCTGATCGGGCATCTCACGACTTGGTCATGATTACAAGACTGTGGGACGCATGAAGGCCAGTTCCTAGAGCGCCGGGATCTGGTCACTTAGCTGGCGATCCGAGGGGCGATGCAGGGAGTTTATTTAAGCTTCTGGTCTTCCTTCGTAGACATTTTTGCACCCTGTCGAGCTTGGCTCGACGGTTCAAGCTGGGAACCAAATCCTCGCTATAGGATGTGCATCCTTTGAGATAGACAGTCAAAATGATAGGAAATTGGTGTTTGAATTTGACTATCCTCACTACAACGTCTGATGACTACGATACTTTCTCATCAGCAGTGCAGTCTAGGGGAAACTCAAGGCCATCACTGCACCTCATGAATCTACAATGCTTGTTGCATGATCACCCGATTCGCAGGCTCCTCATTCTTGAGTCGAAGTCTCTCCGTCTTAAATCATCACGTCGTGCCCTCGTCTACCCGGTCCAGAGAGGTTCTCCGCCAAGACGAGTCTCACTTCAGGCTCCCACAAGCAGAGTTTCCATCCCCATGCCTCATCAAACCTCTCCCATCCGAGGTGACGACCTCGGGGCCAATGTACCAAGCCCCAAGACAACTTCATCTTCAAGGATAAACCCAAATCGCAATGCATCCGCTCAGCGGAGAGCAAGTTGCTTCGCCGTTCATATTGATGCTCCTGAGGCTGCCCGAGCCACATTCGCGTCTCCCTTCCATCTCTGGAACTTACACCAATCACCTTACGCTGCCATGAGACCAATGGAGCGCTTCCATCAGTGTAAACGATGCTCCCCGGCGGCTTTGTAAGTTATCTGGAAGTGAAGGCAAGTCTGGTTGCACAAGTATCACGGACAAAGGCAGAAAATAGTCATGCCAAAATGACTTGACCCCAATCTTCACCCCCGTGTTTCATCTCTGCACAGTCCTTACCCAAGTCATGGCACCAGATTCATCCAGTCACATCACCGCCGCGCGCCTCAATTGACAAATGCAGTGAATTGCCAGACTGATTCCAACACGCCATGCGGCGTTCGTCCCAAAAGCGAACCCAGTTCGCTCACACTAAAGAAAAAAGGGGGCCCAGCTCTGCGAAGAAGAAATACAGTAAAAGATCATCACCGCCCCTCTTCCGGAAACGCCATGCTCTCCATCCCATCCCTAAAGACAACCATCTGAAACCACGCACGAGGTTCTCACAAGCCTATGCCTGTTGCGGATACACAGCTGGTGCGCTACCAGCATTTCAAGTGCACACCGTTCACCCCGTGACCCTCCTCACCCACAGCGTCGTAGGCTCATACTTGGCGTCCTTGTCGAGCCGCTTGTAGGCGCGGTGCAGCTTCAGTCCGAGCTCATACTCCTCGCGCTGCACGTCGGCGAGCTCGACCTTGAGGGCCACGACCTTGCGCTTCTCGGCTTCGCGCTTGCGCAAGACGGCCTCGCTCGCGAGGAGGTTGTCGGTGGGCATGAGCTCCGTCATTTGCTTGATGGCCATGTTGATGTTGATGCGGCGGTTGCCCAAGGAGCTGAGGCGCGCATTGAGGTGGCCGACGCGATCGTTGACAGAGGAGAGCTCGGGTGGCGCCGGCGGCAGCGCTTTGCTCAAGGACAGAATGGACTCGGGACGGCCGTTGGTCGCGTTGTAGATACCGGAATTGACACTGCTGCGCGGCGCCGGGCGATCGACCTGGCTGGGAAGCTTCTGGCGGGCAGTCGTGAGCGAA